TTTTTTCAGTTTCTATTATTTTGACAGTCCGACAGGTTGGTTAGATTTCTGATTAGATAAATATGTTTTACCATGAATTCATATATTTAAATACTTATAAAGTGCATGATGTTACCATGCATGAATCTGGCTTGTGCCTTTTTGGTCACACAAAGATAAATCTAGTAACACAACTAGAACCAATCTGATGATGAAATGTGTATCACTTGTCTATAATACATGTGATATAACTTTTTTCTGTGAAAGTAAATATATATGTATGTAAACAGTCTGAAACAATTAATAAAAGTTCCTCATAATGTATGTGAAAATTAAAATAATTATAAGTTTATAACCAGTCAAAGCAATCAATATTTTTTTCTTACATGTCTGTGATAGTTAACACAAGTTTATGACTAGCCTGAAACAATAATTAAAAATTGATAACCTTACTTGTGATAGTAATACAAGTTTTATAGCCAGTCTGAAACAAGTGATAAGTTTTCCAAACATGTCGGTGATAATAAATATAATTAAATCCACATGTATAATCATGCAGTTTTAAACAATGTTTTTTTTCTGTTACATGTCTGTGAAAGTTAACACAAATTTATAACCAGTCTGAAGCAATGATTAAAAATTCATAACCTGTCTGTAATAGTATAAATACAGGTGTAATTATTGACACTGAAGATGGGTCTGTGAAAGTAGGTACTTGTGTATTACCAATCTGAAACAACAAATAAATGTCCATAACCTAAAGTAAATTCGTTATTTTAAATTCTTGTGAATTGCATGTGTAATAATTGTGAAAATTGATGTAATATGTCTGCGATAATATAAACATTTAATCCACGTTAATGTATTGTTAAAAAGAGTTTCCATAAGTAATTTTAAAAGCATTGTTTTGAGTGTTTGAATTCAGGAACCCGCTATCAAAGGCTTCTGATCGTTTTTGTAGGTGTAGTAATTCAATTTAATAATATTACTGAAAATCAAATCAGGGAAGACAATATTTAATATTTAAACATTTTAATGACTAATCAGTAAGTTATACATGCAGGAATTATTTTCCTTCCGTTGTGAAATACATGTTAATAACCCTTTCTCCACCACTTACCCCTATATACCTCCTATTTCTTTTTAAAATAATGTAAATCCTGCTACAACTAGTCATATATTTGTTGACACTGAACTTCTACTTTCACTTTCACATACTTCATTTCCGGTCAAAAATACGCAACTATGCGGCTACCGGTTAGCTCCTATACCATGTACAGCTGCCGTTTGCCGGACTCGGGATTATTCCAGCCATTCTAGTATATATTAATGTGTGCTTCCTACAACCAATCTTTTAAAATTTATGCGTAAATATAATAATTAATATTTAAATATATCAATTAAACTTATTGATAATATTTTATATTGGTGTAAGTTATACTTCCTGTTCAAAAATATGAAACTATACGTGCGCAAAGCTAGTTTTACAAAGCTCCCGTTTATCGGACTCGTTGTCGGTTGAAGGCGCTTTTTAGATTGACCGCTGAGGTCATCGGGGTCACAGGCTTTCCACGTGCTTCATTCGTTGGTGTCCAACAACCATACAATGTCTCTCCCTAAAGTGTTTTTCGATGTGGCAGCCGCTGGGTCTCCCCTTGGAAGAATCATAATGCAGGTAACGAACTGTCAAGAAATCGCCCTTCCAGGATTTCATAGAGGGGGGTTGGCACGGGTTTTCCGAGGAGTGTATCGAATTTTATCAACAAATATTTATTTCACATATATAACTATATGTCAAAACGAGCAAATCATCTGACTTTAAACAGTGTAAAATTTGTTTTGACATAAACTTAATTATAGGTGTTGTTATTAGCTCACCAAATGACCATGGTGAGCTTATGACATACATTAAATTTGGCCTGGAGCATATTTAGGCAAAGGGCTCTCAGACATTTGTTTCTATCAACAAAAATATTCAACCTTTTGGTATATTTTATGAGTAGACTAGGGTGTGATTTTTAAGCCGCTCTTGGCGAGAGCCGAGCGGCTTATTGATTCTGTCCAGAGAACGAAATGACGGACCCACTTCCGTTTGGGGGTGCATTCGCATAATTCAGTATTGCATGCTTCCGCTATATAGTTTCGTTATCGTAAATAGAAAGTAGAATCTCTGACACTCACCTGTGGGTTACATAAAGTCTTCTGATACTCTTCTCCAAAATAGTAATCCATACTTTAAATAATTGATGAAAACAAAATGTTTATCTCCGGTGCATCCTACGAGTGTTGTGGTGGTGAAATTCGTGCACTAGGTTTGAGCGTTTTAGCAACTCGGATTGCGGTCTGGGGAGTGTTACGCGTGTGAAACACATGATTCGAAAAAGCACATGTGAAGACTGTCAAGCATTAACGCTGTCTGTAGAAGGAAGAAGTAAGTATATAAACTTATAAACCGTATGAGTGATGAAGTATAACCTCTATTTTGATGTTTGAAACGGGAACATATATATGCCATATCAGGGTCTCACTAATTTGCGCCATAGGAGATTTAGCGCCATAGGTGCGCCATCGGAGTTTTTGCGCGCCATAGCAAAATGTGAGTGTTTTATCCACAAAATATTTCGATTTTTCCATTGGTATACTCATTTAACATGTTTTGGTAAAGTATCATTTAAAAAAAATGTGTGCTTTTTTAGAAAATCGATCTTGATTACGAAGCACTTTTACACTAATTAGCGCCATACGTGTTTTTTCACGCCATAGCTAAATGTAAGAATTATTTTCAGCAATTAACTGTGTTTTTCCTTTGGTATATGCAATATACAGGTTTTGGTAAAGTTTCATTCTTAAAAAATGTTTATTTTATTAGTAAATCGACAAAATATTTCTTCGCGATTCACAAGTCAATTTCAAGGGAAGTAACTCGTACATTTGCTAAAAACGCCATAGCAATGAAAAAGACATGACTAGTACAAATTTTATATTAATTTTAGAATTTATTTACAACAGTTTATTTATTACATCTACTTAAATATCAATCACAGAAACATTAAAGAGAATAACACATTTTTAAATATTATAAATATACATTAATTTTATTTAATGAACAGATTAATTAATAACATTTGTACACCACAATTATAATCTTTATTGAATTCACCAATTATACATCTAAATCTACACAGCACACAATGTTATACATTATCCACATCNATTGTCTCTGTTACCACTGGCTGCAATGTTCCCATCGTCAAGGCGGTATAGTTTCATCCCAGCTCGTAGGTACTTTGGTACATCTAGGGTAATGATGACATCAGATCCCTTCTTCAGGCAAGTCTTGTTCTTCGCAAAGTGTATATATTGGCGGTTCATCTTCTGTAGTCCTTCTTTCTGGATGATTGGTAAAGCCTTCTTTGATGTGCCATGGGTACAGTACTTTACTGATGAGGGGTTGGTGATGGGAGATCCCAGGAGATGGAGTCTGACAGGATTGCTGTGGCCGGATGCTGCACATATGAAGTTGTGGCATGGTGAGAGAAAGAGATGCTGCTTATCTGTAGGTAGGTTGATGATGGTGTCTAAGGTATCTCTGTTGAAGTTGAAGATCTCCAATATGTGGTTCACTGAAAAAGATGCTGCATCATCTAAGGGAGCGTTAGGGTCATGTCTCAGGTAGTGTACCATAGCTCTGGAAAGAGATTCCATTTTGAAAATGTTGATTTGAATAGAAAGACTGGTCAAAGTAATGATTAATGACAATAGAAAAATCATTTTCTCTTATATATTATATGTTAAGATGCTTTCATCCAATCCAATGCAGGGGGTGTGGCATTTCAGGTTAAAGACTTGCTGTACATGTAGATCTTAAATTTGATTGACTATTATTAATCACAATTTTAATGGGGTTCAGGTAATTATGATATATAATTTCTGTTAATGGGATTCAGGTAATTATGATATTTGATGACTACTGTTAATGGGGTTAAGATTATTATGATTTGTGATAAGTACAAAGGTAAGCCAATTAATTTAATCAGTACTCAATTATCTCCTCTAGCAGCTTGGGATAACTACTTACATTCCTAATTAGCATGTTTTAACATATTTGAACAGAATTATTATTTCCTGAAACAGCTTGGTATAATTAACTGAAATATTAGGCTGTATACCGGTAAATATGGGTGCTACACTAGCTACCTCATCATCAGAATACGCAGCTCATCAAGGTAAGACACTAGACTCGGCATACTCCCAGTCCCAGTTCTTGTCTCTAAATACTATTCGGTTAGGCACTGACTTCGTTTGTGGGTTTTTAACTCTACTGTATTTTTAAATCAAAAATCTATATCTCCATTTTCTTCAATAGAATTTTTTCCTTTCCATTTGATAGCTGCAATTTCTTCGTTATAATCTTTTCATACATTTCATAACTTTCTTATTTCTGACTATATATTCAAAATGGATCTTTATCCTTGTGGAGTATGCAAAGAAATTTGTGATGGAGATGGAAATGTAGCTTGTGAAAAATGTGATAGGTGGTTCCACAAAAAATGTGAAATCCTGACCAATGCTCAGTTAAGATTCCTAGGTAAAACTGAATTGCCCTTCATTTGCTCAGCATGCTCTCTTAAACCAGACAAAACTTTTGACTTTAACCTGTCTTTGGAAAGACTTGCTGCAGCGGCACATACAGATGTTTTGTATTTAGCTGAATGTGTGAAAATGGAGCAGATTATGCTCATATCTCAAAAGTAAGTTATCCCCTCAAATTCACCAGTCACTTTTGGATCTCATATCAAAGATCAGACTGCACAAACATTGTTAGGTATCAACATGGACTTTACTCCCGTAGTATCAACTGGAAACGGCAATTGTCTTTTTAATTCTGTATCCATCGCGCTTAAGGGAGATGAAACCATAGTAACTATGTTAATAATTAATATAATTTGAAATTGCCTACAACCCAGATATTGCAGTCATCCAACTAGGAGGAAACGCCATTGCAGCGACATCATCCCCCAATGACATTTTTCAGACACTACTCAAACTACAAACAGACCTACAGACTGCTGGAATCAGGGAGGTGTATTTTACCGAGATAGTGCCACTTGGAAATTTGACAAGTCCCCAGGCCTGACAGGGACATCCTTTGATAAACAACGCAACAAGATCAACCATCTCATGAAGACCAGACTAAACTACATCAAGCTGCGAGTGAAATTTCAACAAGACTATTACCGTGACCTAGTTCACTTTAACAACTCAGGAAGATGGACCCAGTTCCTTTCTCTACGACGACCATTTTTCAGGTGTTGACAATTTGTAGGATGTATGTTTTATTAATTTTGCTTTCATGTATATATCTATATGTGAAATAGTGTGTTGTTGAATTTAATAAAGATTTGAATACATATGTTTTCATTTTTCGTCTTAATAGAATTTTATTGATTGTATGTAAAAAAGAACTGAGATGAAATATTTAGGAGTAATTAATATTTCCATTAAACATGTATAATACTTATTTTTAATGTAAGAGTATGTAATAAAGTGTTGTAAATAATTTATAAAATGTGTGAGATTTACATAAAATGTTACTAAAAATATTAAAAAATAATTAATTTCTGTTTCAGAGCTGTGTGTAAATTATTTTATGTTTGTACTCATAAATAAATTGTATTGTACATGTGTAATTAATAAATATTTTCATGGTCTTTAATGTTTTTGTAACTTATTCTATGTTTACAAATCATAAATTAAAAAAACCAGTCAAGTACTAGTATTGTCCTATTCATTGCTATGGCGTTTTTAGCAAATGTACGAGTTACTTCCCTTGAAATTGACTTGTGAATCGCGAAGAAATATTTTGTCGATTTACTAACAAAATAAACATTTTTTAAGAATGAAACTTTACCAAAACCTGTATATTGCATATACCAAAGGAAAAACACAGTTAATTGCTGAAAATAATTCTTATATTTAGCTATGGCGTGAAAAAACACGTATGGCGCTAATTAGTGTTAAAGTGCTTCGTAATCAAGATCGATTTTCTAACAAAGTGCACATTTTTTTTAAATGATACTTTACCAAAACATGTTAAATGAGTATAGCAATGGAAAAATCAAAATATTTTGTGGATAAAACACTCACATTTTGCTATGGCGTGCAAAAACTCCTATGGCGCACCTATGGCGCAAATTAGTGTGACCGCCATATCGTGCTTAGGTTGATAACGGTAGACTAATAGCTCCGAGACGATATGTGAACTGTGTATGCTTATCAAACATTTTTGTAACACAGCATGCTATTTCTGGTGTATTTATTTATAAAAGTGTAACAATTTAAGAACATGACACAACTGCCGCTGCTGTTTGACAAGAATTCGCGCCGTGTCAAAATATCATCAAATTGGGTGTAAGGGAAATAACTCTTAGGTTGGTAAAGTCGCATTGGGAAATATATTTCAAATATATTCCAAGAACATATTGTGAGATCTTGTATATTCAATGACGGTAAATAAAGTCGCTACAAATATTAATAATTTTCACTAATATGAATAAAAAATAAATAAAAATAAAAGCAGTACAATGTCTCTTTTCTCCATGCATGTTTTCCCACTACTGTTAATTATCCTTCATTTCACAAGCAAAAAATGCACCTATTCTTTATTATCCATTC